TACAGCACATCAGTTCCAAACTTGACAAGAAACTGAGGAATCCTAAAGCTGTACTACTCCATCTAGCAGATAATTTTAGGTGAAAAGCACCAAAAAGAAAAAAATCCAAACAAAGCCAACTACCCACCCACTGTGGTAGGAGCTCATGCCTTGTAATTCCTGTGTTAATGACTATCATCGTCATGAATGTTCCTTTTTCCGCAAGTGTCTTATAGGTAGTACCCATAAATAGGTTTCACAGGCCCTTGACTGGAGACAAGATCACTACTAGGTTGCATGTTGTTGTTATGAGGTGCTTATGTGTTCTTGTGAACGCAATACACACACTTCATCTTTGTTCCATCAGTGCAGTCTAATTGCTTTGGTTTTTGAAGAGCAATTGGGTCAGATGGTTTTCAAAATTCTCTGCTTGATAATCTAATTGATTTTTAAGTTCTGAGAAGAGGGTTGACCGCTGGAAACACTACCTTGAATAGTATGTACAGTGAAACTGTGGAGTTGCTCACCATGGTGTTCGACTCTCATGCTACCTTAAAAAAGATGGCTCAAATAAAGAATTTGTGAAAGTAAATACTGTATCCACGGTTCTCCTTCTGTATTCTATCTCTTGCAGGTATGTAATAAACAGAAGTATAAGTTTAGCAGTCTTAGTTTTGACATAGAGCTGCCTGTGTTTCAACAAGAAAAATCTTGATTCTGTTAACTGTGAATTAACTGACACTATATTGTATGGCTCCCATTATATCATTTACCTTTTTAGGGCAGCCAGCAAAAATTAAATCTGTTTATTGACAGAGGTCTAGCAGAATGTGCAGTTTTCAGAAAGTGCAAGACATTTCTCCATTTATAATGTGGAACAGTTCCAAGAAAACACAAGTCTGATTTGCAGCTGCCTGATAAAATTGGAGCTGGTGCAAGCTAGGTGAACAGTCACAGTAGAAAATATGTTTTCTGTATTTCCTAATAGGTTGCTCAAAATCTCAGTGACTCTGTCCCTGAAAAGGAAGTCAGCAACAGTCCTGTGAATTCTGTGACTGAAGTGAAGGAACAAATAGGTTCTAACCATAGTGAAGAAATGTCCCACTATGCAGCCCAGGTGGAGCCACAGAGGACTGAGACCAGCCTGCGCAGGAGCTCCACAGGTAAGATTGCTGGTCTAGAAAGTTGACAGTGCAGTTCCTCGGTAAAGCATTATCCCTTTGTAGAGTTCCCTGTAAAGAACTGTGGAATTCAGTTTGCAGAGTTACTCAGTAAATTAAGTAGTTCATCGTTCTAATAGTAATGTTATCTTTCTTTGTGTGCTGCCTCACAAAAAATGACTAAAAATAACATACTGACACCATTATATCAAAAGCAGTAGTGACTCTCGCTTCTCATTAGTGATCCATAATTCAGTCTCAGAAGAATACAGAAACCAACTAGCTTACAGAAAATGCAAAATTGTTATAATCATTCTTGTCTCAGCAACTGAATACTCACTGCTCAGAATAGAAATCCACATGACAGGTTTATTTTTATAGTCTGTAATTCTGGGAACAAGGAAGCAGAAAGATGAACCTCCGCAGCTGTTTTCCGTCTCATTCCTGATGTTTACTAGGTGCTTAATGAAATCCAGTGTGTAGAAGAGACTTTCCTAATTTCTTTATATCTGTATTCTTTAACATTTCTTCTGGATATTGATCATTCCAACTTTAGGAAACTAAGAAGTTCCATGAAAAAGCTGCATGTGTTTTTTGATTTTTAAATCTGGGATCTGTATTGTGAAATAGAGTGATTCCATAAATTGTGGTGGCTCTCCCCACAGAGCACATACCTTTAGAGATGTTTTCAGACCTTAAAACCAAATGTATATTCCATGGCTGTGGCATGTGAACATACCTCATGACACCTTGATCTTTTTCCTGGTTAATATGAAGCAGGTGGTTGCCAGCTGGTTACAGCCATACAGTCCAAAATTAGCTTAGTCTCTCTCCAGGTGCATCAGTTCAAGGCACTTTGAAGCCTCAGTGGGAGACTGTTTAATTAGAAGCAGTTATTATTGCAGCTGTTTGAAGATCAAGTGAAGCAACACTTCCACCTGCTTTGCAGGTCCTCCTGTCTGCATTGCCTAGTCCCACTGAAATTGTTCTCAAAGCCTAGTTCATGCTTTCAACTGAGTTTTCATTCCTTGATGTAACAATCTTCAGTATAAACTTCAGCCTACTGAAACATTAATACTATTACTCTGCAGTGGAAGGCTCAAGTGCCTAAGATAGGCCTTTTGGACTAGTGCAGAGATGACCAAACAGATTTCCTTCTGGACACTTACTTCTCTGTCACTAGTAAGCATTGTTGGATTTGCAGTACTGACCAAAATTGATGTACTTCTGCTCTGTTTGATATTTTCTAGTGAACAAATTCACACATCCAGCATTGTGTTGGGTTTATATGTGGGTTGTTCTTTTTTCCCTAGAACATCTTGGTCAAGATCCATTGAATTCCAGGTCAGATCTACACACAGACACTGCACATAATTTAGTGGAATTTTCTCCTGAAGAAACACCAGCTGAAATTATGCTTGGAAAGGTAATGAATATCCTGAGCTACAGACAGGACTTTCACTAGTCTAAGTCTACGTCAAATAAATTGCTTTGGCTTTGGTGGGAAATGCTGAAGTGCAGAGAATCCTAGAATCCATTTCTAGCCCACTGGACTTCACTGTATCACAATTCTTGAAATGAAATCACGTGACACATTTGCCCTTTCATTTGATTTATAAAGACTTCATTTGAGTTGGAAGATTCTGTATACTGAATAGTGTGTTCCATCTAGTTATAACTGGGTGTAGTAGACTATATAATGAGTATATATTGCTGCTTTATTTCAATACAAGTTATAGCTAGCTGCAGTAATGCAGTCATTTTCATTACATTCTACTTCTTGTTTAGGTTACTGAAGGTGAAATTGGACCCTTCAGCTCAGTCAAACTTCAGATCCTATTTGTGCCAGCTATCCCTGGGGATGTGCGGACAGAGTTTGTGATCATGTTTGACAACTCGGACTGCAAACCAGTGAGTGATTTTGTGCAAGACTTGCTTCAAAACACTGTATAAAAAGAGTTTTAAATCCTCCTACTTCTGCTTTCTCCAAGAATTAAAAGAGCTGGGAGTGCTACATTAGAAACAGGAGAAGGAGGGAGAGGACAGATCTATCTATGAGTATTACAAGAAATAACAAGGTGCCACGTGATTCTGTATTATGTGGTTTGATGGGAAGTAACTGTAAATCATGGTCCTTCTTTCGATGCAGTGTTGTTATTAAACCTGTGATTGTCTTAAATGTAAATAATCATGCTATTCCTATTTTAGCAGACATCATACTGGAAGACATCTAATGCCTTGGAAACAGATACAAAAGTATTCTTCTCTACTCCCAGCCCACATAGTTTATTTTTTTTTCTGAGATGTCAGAATTGGAATTATTTAGCATGCAGTAGTGAAATTGATGTGTGAAAGCTGGAAGAGATGACAACTTCAGTTACCACTTCAGCTATATTTTGATTCTACACTTTACTGGAAGCCAAATTCTGCCTGAGAACAGTTCACAGAAACTTTCCAAAACAAAACCCAAAACCTCCCAAGCAGCTTGGTAAGCCAGTCTTGGCTCTGCAGGTTGAGTCTTCTACAGAAGGAGCTGCAGACATGTACTGAAGGATCATCTCATCCAAGCCTGAGCTCTGTAGTCACTGCTGTCAGGCCTGAGGTGGTTGTAGGAAGTACAGCACTGTGCTGCCATCACTATGTTTCTTTGCTGGCTAAACAAGCTGCAGCCTCTTGAGTTTCTGCATTATGGCATGTTCACATAAGCTAGATGCACTTTAAATATTTCTTTTTGGTATCATGGGCAGTGTGGGTTAGGGTTAGGGTCATGTTCTCCGACAAAGAGCCCAAACCAAAGTATAATTATTTTTCTGCTGTGACACCATAACATCTAGGGTTTATCTCTACACATTATTTTCATAGCTTTGCTTAATTAAAGAACCTGTTGCAATATGACTAAGAAAATATTTTACTCAGCTGTAGTTTACAGCAGAAATTCTTGCTCTGTCTAGATCTGTAAGAATTTGAGACCAATAAAACTAATAATTTATGTATTAACAGCTGTGTTTCAGTGCCGTTGGAGTTTCTATGCATATGCCAGTTTGGGTGCCCAATCCCAACATTGACTTAAAAATCTGTATGTATGACAGACTCTATCAGGATTGCATTGTCATTCAAAGCAGGTGAGTGACCCTTTCGTTATCAGCTGCCTGATATAGTAGCTGGGTAATGAGATCTTAAGTCTTAGGTGACGCCTTGAGGTTCCATTATGCCAGGCATGTCCCCTTGTCATAGGAAGCTAAAGAACAGTTTTGGTTTTCCATGGCATTTCAGGAGGACATCCTGATTGCAACCCCCTGTGTTCCACACTGGTGTGGAAATTGGACTTGGATATCTAACTATCCCAGATTCCCAGACCAGCAGTAGCTACGAAGCATCTGGGTTAATATGTGCCTTTCCACTCCTACAAGACACCCTGTATTGTGTCTATTCTGTGGAATAACTGTAAGGCCCCCAGGGAATCGTCACCTCAGAGTATGATTGTGTGGAATTTGCACACTAAATATCAGGGAGATAAATGTGTCTGAACTTAAGTGCATTTTGGGTATAATCAATTAAATCACAGAACATTATGAAAGGATATTTTGTTATTTCTCATCTCTTTTAATTAAAATCCATAGGAGATTATGATCTGGAAAGCCAGGCTCATGCCAATTATTTATTGAGAAGGTCAATCACCAGTCTTTCTAGACTTGGGAAATTATGCCAGATAAATCGTGTTAGTCCTTTTGCATCTGCTATAACATAGGCAGGGTAAAATTTCTCCTTACCCATATAGGCCTTAAGCACTGCACTGGAGTGAAGCAAACCTTGGAAGTACACATAGAGTAGTCAAAGGGCAATTTAAGGGGGAAGAAGTACATGGGTGTTTCTGTAGTCCAAATCAGTAATGGCTGGAGACTTCTTCTGTTTGCACTGTAACATAAAAAGAATATTTTGGTCCATTGTCTCCAAGAGCTGTCACGCTATGAGAGTGTGTTTAAATGAACTTTTATTTGTCTTCAGGTGCTTCAGGTTTCTTTTCTCTACCTAATGCAGTCACTACTGCATGCTTCTTTTAACAATTTGCACTTCTTGGATTCTATTTAAATAGGATTAGGGTGGGTTTGTAGGAGGGTGGGGGAGAGAGTGGTTCTGTAGAAGGCATCCGTTCTAAACCACTTAGCTGAATTACAGGCTGCAGAGATTCTTCACAGTTGGAAAGAATTGAGTAAAGCTGTTATCTCAGAAATTCACCTTACAGATATGACAAGCTCAAGTTGTTATGTAAGTGATTTTATTTGGTCTAGATAACCCAGGCATAAAACTGGGAAGTATAGCAGCAGAATAACTCTTTTAATGAAAACTTAAGATTTCAAGGGATCCCAAAGATAGACGCTGTCAAATTGCTCAGGGCAAAATTCTTAACAGAGGGAAAAATCCTGCTATTCCTTTGCCAAGTTTCACTAATTTAAGAGCACTTAATATGTGGTATGTGCCTTAGTACCTTATCACCTTAACAAAATCAAATCTTTGATTTATCTCCCAGTTCTCCATAGCTAGAAGGAATTGTCACTGTTACACACTTGTTTGGGCTGAAATTCAAAGTATTTCATGTGCCAGAATATCCTGTCTCAACTTTTTATTCTGCAAAAGTAGATAATGTCCTCATTCAGATGTGTTACCAGAGAAGCTTCTTCCTCTAGTAGCTATTGACATTTTTCTGTAGAATGTATCAGAGGATTCCTCATTGTACATGGTACATGTCAAACCACTTCTCAAACAGAATGAATTTCAACTGTTGAAAATAGGTAGAAATTACTATCAGTCAAGAATAATTTCTTAGGTTGGACTAATAAGTAGCTTGCAACAGTGAAAAACTGAGGAAGGTGGTCTGGGGAAGGTCTACGATCTGGAGCTGTGCTCAGACAAAGGATCCAGAGCCAAGGACAATAACCAGGCTAGCAAAGAAGCCGTCAACATACCACCAAAGAGAATAATTTTTTTCAACAGCTTTACATGTGAAAGGTGTATCCGCTATAGAGTTACTATGGTGCTGTCTGTGCTAATGCTTGGAGCAACCATTCACTGAAGGACAGCAAAGGTACCACAGCCCAGCTGGAAAGGCAGCTTGTCTGACAACTGCTGGAAGCCTTAGCTAAGGAGTCTGAAGTTCAGATCCAGTAGATGTGAAATCTTATTTGCATAACTTCTAGAACAGACGTTCTTTAATTAAATGTTAATTACATACTTAAATACTCCTGTTATTCACGAATATTCTTACAAATTTCTGCTCCAATCCCTAACCAGTTGTAGCAATAAAAAGCCAAAACAAACCAACCAACAAATAAAAACTCTAAAACACTGACAGAAATCTTTAGATATCTAGGGCAAAATGTGACCCAGACCTGAGAAAGGTGATGTGTTTGAATAGTCCTTTGTTCACCACCAGCACACACAAACATCTGCCAAAAGCAGGGCAGAAAGAACTTGCCTGTATCTTCTTGCTGCTGAGTTCTATGACACTGTAGTCTATAGCAGATGTAGAACACCAAGTTTTCAGGTTAGATAGCTCTGGCATGTAAGTGCCCAGCAAGACCTGTGAGACTGCAAAATGTAAGTTAATACTGGTTGTGTTTTGGGGGTTGATTTTTATTTTCTGGTCACATTGGTAACCAGGCAGTATAAAGGATGAAAAATCTCTTGCCAGAATCCTGTCCAATACAAATCAGTTTTCAAAGTATTTTCTTTGGCAGGTTATAATCTGCATTGCTTTAATGAAGTAGTATATACTTCATTATATACTTATGACAATCTTAAATTGTCAACAGTCAGAAATCATTCCTGGCTCCCAGTACCACATGCTGTAGCTGTTGATTTAGAGCAGACCATCTGGACTGACAGCTTGTAAACCAGTCCAGGAGAAGGAAAATGACAAGCTGAAATATTTGTAAACTGCTTGGCAATTTTGCACTTCGCCATGAAATTCCAAAGCAGGGTATGGTCTATGGCTATCACTGTGCTATAATATGGGCAGAATTCAGCAAAGAGGGAGATGTTTCCCAGCTTCCAGTGTACCATTCAGAGGGCAAACTGATCACAGGTTTTAGCAGGGGAACTGGCAGTACCAGCTTATCTCCACTGTGACTTCTAGCCCTGTAGAATCTCTGCTGTTGAAGAAGTTATGGGAGAACTGTGAATTCACATCTATTTAAAAAGTCACCACAGTTTTAGGGACAAATGCCAAAAGCAGCTGTGATCTCAGTGCATTTCAGGCATCAGGCAGCCCCACCACCTGAGGTTGAGTGTTTTTCTTGCCTTTTTAGGTTTAAGTTTTGGTACTGAAACTGTTGAGATAATTATGATGATAGTGAAGAGGACTGGAATTCACAAACTTGGTACTTGTTGATGGTTTAGGTGTATTATGCTCTCTCAGGATCAGTTTTGATTTTTCTGAGTACAGGCTGGGACGTTAAGTGCTTGTGAGCTGCTGAAGCAAACTCCAAGAGCAAACGTTGCTGAGATGGCTGCACAGGTACCCTCAAAGCCACCTAAGAGTGTCTGATCTGTTTGCAGAGCAAAAGCCACGCTACATTTGAAGTTTGAAGTATGCAAAGAATTGAGTAAGCACATGGAGCTGCTTCCAGAAACAGGTTACATCCAAGCTCAGGCATCATTCAGTGTGCAACTGAAGTTTCTGCCCAGGTAACAACTTGAATCTTTTCAGTTTTTAAAACAGTGTGTGTAGGAGGCTGTCAGTGGAAAACCTGAGAAGAGTTTTTTCTGGATTTCACACTGCTGGTGTCAATGCAGTCCTAGTCTCCCTCTCTCTCCCTCTTAAGTTGCCAGTTGCTCAAGGAGGAAATTAACTTGGATCACATACCTGTGAGGAAATGCTCTTCCTGTGGTGACAGCAGCAGTGTGAAAATCTTTGCAGTTGCATTCCTGGTAGGCTGTTCCTGTTTCTGTGGGAAGCTACTCTTATACAAGAGAGAGGTTATATAGGCAGGTGGCTACTTCATGGATCACTGATTAAATAATTTCTGGACAAGAGCTCCTGTGCTTGCTAATTAAGGTAAGAACAGTTGGGCTTCCTGCTCATATCTTTCCTACCCATAGACATGTTTCTCCAAGATATGAAGGTATTGATCTTGAATTTCATGTGGTATTTTACATAACATCTTCTAAGATGCTAAAAGCCTTATCCCAGCATTTCTTTTGTCCATTTACATCTACATCTACATATACAAATGGAACTCAGTTATAAGAAACAAATAATTCATTTTTTCTTTATAATTTGAATAAAGAGCTACTGCTGACCATTGTTTAGTTACCTCATAACTGCCATCCTAAAGAATTTAGCTGGACATTTCTTTACAAATATCAATTAAATGATCTAGGTCTTAGTTCTGGTGTACAGCCAGATACTTTAGAAGCTTCTTTGTTGATTGCTGCTGCAGACCTGCTGCTTCTGTCGTGTAGGCTATCAAGTCCTATTGATGTAAGTATATTTGAATTTTCCTTGATGCACTCAGCATCTCTGGATGCTAAATTGATTTTGAAATTGTCACTAAGTTAGTATTCAAAGAACTAAGTATTTACAGTCCTTCCAACATCTCACATCCTATCAGTGACCAATATGATGGCATTTTTATGTTCTTAAACTTCAGATGCTGCAAAGCGTGTTATACTTACTGAGTGGATAGAGGCATAGCCTGGATTTAGAATATTAATCTTCCTCAGAAAAAGTGGGAAGCTTCAGAAAGGAAATTTGATAAGATTATGGCATTTCTGGCATACAAAAAAAAAAAAGTATCTGGCTGTTTTGGCATACAGATCAGTTTTAAAAGCTCTGCCACACTGGGGAAGGGTGTGTATGGCAGAGGATGAGCTTGCTACAAGCTGATGTGAAGCACTGAGCTAGTGACACATTTCTGAAAACGCTTCCTCATTGACATGGTATTATAGGCTCTATTAATAAAACAGCTGTATTAGAAGTAACATGAAAGTGAAAAGAAACCCTCACTCAGCAATCCTTAGTGAGCAGTTAGATGGCTGAAAGCTTAGGAAGTTCTCCTAAGGACTCTGGGCACTGAAATATTCACTCTGATATGACCATACTCACATCTTTCTGGGTGTCAGAAGCAGGCTTTTCTGTTTATTTGAAGGCAAATTCTCTAATGTGCTGACTTTCAGAATTCCCAGATACCACGTGGTTTAGTTTTTCTACATTTGGAACTAGTCCTGCAGATGCTGGCAGTCTAAATCTGATTTGTCTGGTATGCTTCTTTTTAATTTCTTTAAAGCATGAAAAGGCCATTTTCAGAGAACTGTCTGAAAGATTTCAGTATCTTTCCCCCAAGGCATAATAGCTAATTTAGAGTCCATCACTGTGTATGTACAGTTATAATTATTTTATTTCCCTCTGGATTATTTTGTAGTAGATTAATTTATTCTGCTATTCTGATGTCCTGTGACAAAGTGAAAACTGATTCTTTATTCCTACCCTGTATTTAATGCCAGTTTGATCTTTAAACAAGTTAGCAATTCCTTTGAAGATCACCTGAAGTCATAGTCCACACTTGCAGAATAACCTCCAGCAAGATTTCAGATCACCATGGTGACCGAGTGGGTGGTATTTATTATTCATTAGCTGTTCTTTAACAATACATAAAAAAAAATTGCATGTAATTCCAGCAGTAGTAGTAGGAACATTATCACTGTGGGGACCTAAAACCAGGAAGCAATTTACCCTGGTGGTGTAAGACACTATAAATAGACCAGCAGAGCTAAAAATTCTGCAGCTTTTGTATTGTCTTGGCTTGAAGATCTAAAATAGAGCTAATGATAGCAAGACGCTGCAGCTACAGAGAACCTGTGTTTCTTATAAATCACTGCTCTGGTAGATAATCAGACACTGTTGCTTTCCAAGTTTGTTTCACTTTATTTATGACTCTGTGCTTTGTGGTGCAATTGGTTCTGCCTCCAAGTGGCTGATGATTAAGTGACACCAGTGTCAAAGGGGAATGATTGCCTCAGTGGGGTTGGGTATGTGCTGTGGTTGCAGGAGGTTTATATTCTGATTATAAAGTAAGCTTTACATTTTTTAGAATTTAAAATGAGTGGGTGGCATTTTCAGAAAGCGTAAATGGATGCAGACCTCTCTGAGTTAACTCCCTTCCTCTCCTGTGTGTCAAAAATCCTATTCTTAAAAATAAAAAAGCCAACATGAACAGACAAGGTCAATTGTTATAGCTTCATTTCATTATTCCCCTTAACTAGAAAATAATCGAAGTATTTTTATTCAACTGAATGTAGTTTTTGATCTTTAGGCACTCTCTTCCTCAAGATGCAAGGAGCTATTTTAATGAAGAGACAAGAATCCTGGAGGTTCCAGTGACAATACTCATTGTGGATAAGGTTGGGGATTTTTCTTACACTGGTTATTGGGCTGATAATAGATGTAAATTATTTTAGAGAATGCTCACTTAATGATGCCTAATCCTAGATGAGATCTTTGTAGGTCCTACAATAACAGTAAAAATGATAACAGCTTTAAGTGGTAATACAGATTTGAGAGTATCTTCTTGCCAGCATGTTTACCATATGGAAAGTTAAATCCTTCCTAGTCAGAGCTCATCCATTCGCTGGTAGTTTGTTTTGTACCAGAGAGTCATCAGGTACTGTAGCACCGTCTTACTATTCTGATCTGTACTGCAGATGTAGCATGTTCTTAGAGTTGACATTCCTTGGAGATGCAGGTGTGATTCCATCCTAGCATAGGGAATTTGAGATACAGGTATTATTGTTTTAATTTTGCTTATCAAAGAAACATTTTCTGTTGCTTATTTTTGGAGAAAAGTGAGGCTGAAGTTCACAAGATAGGTATGTTACATTTATATATGTTATTGTTAAGGAATAGAGTAACTTTTTTGCAGTTATCTTTTTGGATGATATTTCACTTAAATCCGGCTCTTACAATGCTACAGATGGAGGGGTTTATCCTGTGCTCTTTCTTGCATTTGTTTCAGGCTAAAAAAGTTAACATTACTGTCCATGCAATAGTTACTACTTCTGATTTGGAAATCAGTCCAGCACAAATCAATTTTGGATACTGCACAATCTATGAAGCTGTGCAGGCAAATGTTGTGCTAACAAACAAATCCATCTTGCCACAAGAGTTTGGATTTGTGGGACTTCCAGAGGTATGTAGCTATCCCACACACCCCTTCTAGAATAAAAATTGATTTAATTATTATGAAAACATGTTTCAGTGTGAGTGTAAATAAATCATAACTGGTTCTTGCAAACCAGATGAAATGCTTCTGGCTGCATCACTGTGGAAACACACAGGTTAGGGTGGTGAGCAATATCACTCAGTTTGCATCCCAAGGCCTAAACACTTTTGAGCAGAATAGCCATTCCTAAACTGCTTAGTGGGAATCATCCCTGGTAATCCCTAGGTATTTCTGACTGACTGTAAATTGACATGGCAGCAGAATTAATCACAGGAGCTGCTAGTTTTGTGGGGTCTATGGCTGCTGAATTAGGGTTTTTTTGCAAAAAGTTAGCAGTTCCAGCTTCATAATAGCATGATGATCAGAGTGTGAAATGGCTTGGCATATTGGAATCAGAGCTAGAGGAATCTGACATTTAATTAGGCATTCTCTCTTTCTCTACTGTTTTAGATATTAAAGTCAAGGAGCTGGCTAAAAGAAACTGGTATTTTCAGCTTCCTAAAGCTTTACTTCACAGCATGTTTCCTGATTAGCTTAAGATTAAGCTTTAGATTAAAATGTGACATTCTTGAATCATCAACTCAAAAACAAACCAATGCCCATTTGTAGATATTAAACTGGTTCTCATCACTATGGTATCTGCACATCAGATGGGAATCAGCTCCTCAAAGATAGTGGGGGTTCACTTGTGATTTTTATCATATTTCATTCAGTTGTCTATAGAGACTAAATAAACATCATTAGAGAAGGGTGAATACTGTGGATAGTAGATCCACAGTGGGGAAGAAATTCCACTGAAGTCTGTGTTAATGGATTTAATGCCTTTCAAGTTACTTTGAGATAAGAAATCTGTACATCAGTCAAACACTAGTCCCTGACTCAGATTAAAGCTTCTCACTGGAAGGTTTCTGTTTCTCTGATGTTTGTACATTTAATAACAAAATGTTCTTATTTTGCCTGTAATGGCTTATTTTAATTTAATAATTTGATAATTTAACTTTTTTATTATTTTAATAACAATAATTTCTTTATCCTGCCATTTTTAAGTTTGTTGAAATTCAGCCCAATGATGGACTTGGAATTCTTCTTCCCCTTGAAAGCCTGACACTGGACATAATCTTTAAAGCTAACAAGGCAAAAGATTACAGCTTTGAACTAACCTGCAAGTCAGAGATTAATAGGTATGTTAAGAAACTGATTGAGTAGTAGGTTATATAGAAGTCTAAATCACACTGGATTTCCACAGTTAAGCTAGTTCAGAAATTAAATCCCTGTTTACTCTGCAGAGGTAAGGCTAGGATGAGTATGTGGGGCAGGTAGGGATTCTCTAGTTCACTAGAACTGCTCAATGCCTGTTAGCTTCATCCTTCAGTTAAGTATCCAACTTTAGTGAGGTCACTTTTCCTTTCCCATCTGAAGTTTATCCTTGTCACATATCCAAGCTGCGAGTTTACCCCAGGTTGTCCTAACGTGCAATGTTCTGCTTGCATTTTTCAGCTGAATTGCTGAAGGTTTATATTATTGTTATCATATTATCAATATTTTAAATGCTTCATACTAAACTAGTGCTACTAAAATAATGATGGCATAAACTTTGATTTGGCTGGATGTATTTCCCGAAGTTCACAGAGGAAGAATTCAAACAGGGACTCTAGCCAATTGTGCATTAAAAATAGATAGTATTATTGTTCATCTTTAGGCAAAATTCCCATTGTAAGCTT